GGAAAATACCATTTTAGTAGATATACAGAAAAAGTACCTTGTATGAGTGTCAATAGCAATATCAGATACAAAGTTTACCTGCTAAAATCAATGTGTATATGCAACTTTTGAAAGACCTCTGTGACCAACTACTTTGAACTCATCTATAAAATGAACATGACACACAAAATGACTTTTATGATTCTGCTTCTTCGTTTTATTGTTCAGTAAGGGATCTACAATTCATAAAATTCAGGCTCAAGTTCTGGTTGAGGAAACCAATGACGTTTACTCTGCGGATCATTACAGTTTGGTACACAACACTACCAGACTTCATTTTTATAATCAAATACACGAATAACGAAATTAATGGATTGAAATACAAAAGTTAACTGATATTGACAACAGTCGCATTATAATTTATACCTGTAGCACCGTACATAAGTAAACAGAAGTAAATTCACTTCCGTCGGCTTCTTTGATGTTTCGGGTCAAGATTTTATTTTTTGCTGGCATGTGGCGGGGCAGGAGGGTGTCGGCTGAGAGCTGTTGTGCACCTCTGCACGAGGTTCGATCAAAAAATATGTGACCATGATCTGACTTCATCATTGCTATGCGGAGCTCCAAATAAATGTTTCATATGATTGTGAACTGTTTAGGAATTGATGAAAAATAAGACAAGGTGGTAAAATAAACGTATATTTTATATAGTAAGAATATATAATTCAGGACACAAACTTATGGTGATATGTTTTAAAGGTTTTTTAAAATGATGAGATTTTGATTTTTTTTTCAATATTTGTTTTCAAATTTCTATTGGAAAATTTCAAAGTATATTAAATTCTTACCCTTGTGAAAAGAGAAAATAAATAATCCAAAGGAAAATTATCACAAGGGTGAAAAATGTTGATTTTTGAAAATATTGTTTTGCTTATGCAATCAGTGGCACATAAATTGTTGAAATGATTAAGAAAGTCTGTCTCTAGATGAATGATACATGGTAAAAATGAATCTGGAGGCATATATAAACTTCCAAACTGTTTGGCTACTATATGCCTTGAAATGACTATACAACATTTGTTTCATTCAGTGTGGTACTAGCCGCCATGGCAAAATTTGTACATACTCCACATGAATGTTTCTTTAAACATTTTCTCAAAAGATATCCACAAACATAACCCACGCTGTTGCCTTCTGGGGTGGCTAGAGTTCTATGATCATTTGTCTCTACTCTCAAAGGTTTATAGGGATTTTTTGGGACTTCCACAAGAATCTTCATTCTATTTATGTCTGCATCTGCAATACTAGATAAAATCTCACTAGTATCTTCTAGACAGTTAGTTCCTTCTGCTTGTGTGAAATACTGAAAAGTAAATGTGTTTTTGAAAGCTCTAGTAATTTGAATAGGAGTTGTTTCTGGCATTTACACAAGTATATATAAGTTGACCAAAATCATTTTCCACACAGTCGTGATTTATATTCCTCGTCAATATTTAAGAGTGTCCCTCACTGTATAGGTTTTCCCAAAGTTGCAGAAATGCCAAAATTGTTATCTGCCACCCCTCAATGAATCTCATTTGTCCAGTAGTGTTTTTTCTTTTTTTGATATTACAGTTAATTTACTAAAAAATTATGAAACAACGATAAAAATAAAAACAACAATAAAAATTAATTGGCGGTCCGGGGCGACTTCATTGATTACAGTGGAGCATTTGCTTTTTCAGCTGCAGGAAAACCTGGAAAAACCTGCAGCACCACATCATCTGAAGATATTGATTTGCCAATGTCCTTTCTCTCATAGAACAAAATGTAGGGTGTCTCCAGAGGCTCCAATAGATTCAATACATCTCCAGAACACTTCGTGACACGACTATCGTCAAACTTAAATCAGTCCGTTTCGTCTTTGACCAAGGCGTAATAATGACCAAATTCAACGCCAGAACCGCAGTGAACAATGACTGCATGAATATTATAATAGTGGCCTGCTAAATTGAAATGTCCATCTATTTCGATCCTTCGAAAGAGTTTCTTGCTTCCGTCAGAGGTTAAGTCTTGTTTGAAGATCATCAGTATAATTATTAGATTGACAGGTGCCTCAGAAAATCAATTTGTTTTAATGTTCTAAAAAAAGGTTTATTGAAGTCTTTCACACCGTCAAATCTATTTGAATTTAAAATAGCAGAAACTTTATCCATTTTTTTCAATGAATGAAGCCGTTCCTATTGCTGTTGATGGTATCTCATTGAAACTGGCATAGATATTCATCGCTGTAGCTACCGAATGACTGAAAACTTGACTGACTAATTTAACCTTCATCCTTTGAAAGTTAGTTGGAAATAAATAAGAATCAGTAAGTTTGGATGCTAGTCTATATTGCTTTTCCTTATCCAAGTTGTAAAGTTGTTCAAGATGACTTTTGTTCGTTGTATATTCATCAAATTTCAAAAATTCATCGAAAAATTGGTTTCTGCTACATTTCAGCAAATATTTTTTTCTCATCAACAAAGAAATATGGCTGCTCTACAGTCACTTCGAGATCTTCTCTGGCAAGTTTATAAAAATTAGAACCTAAATTTGAAAGGATATCCCTAACTCTCAATCCAATTTTTGATAATTGCCTAACAGCTTCAATAACAATACCTACTTTTTATATCCAGTATTGATGTGGATGAATTGGTGAAAAAGTATGTAACAGGCTGTTTCCAATTCAAATGTATGCCTTTTGCCATGACTACTAAGGCATTTGCAGAATTCCATTTTGTTTTGAATCGTTTTTCCGAAATATTTTTTTATATTATTGGGTTGGACGTTGTAAATCAAAACTTGAATATAAAATACAGATTTCTTAGTTTTAGGTTGCCTAGTTTGCTAATTATGAAGTATGTTAATCGAATGAAAGTCTAATGTTTTTTGTTATTGATGACAGAATCTAAGAAAAGATATATTTGCTATTTATACTAGACTAGTACTATGTTGCTGTATCGCTGCTGTTCCAATGTTTTGACACAATCAGAATCAACGAACTTAGGCGTGCGCAGCGTTATAGAACAGTGCTTTCAAAAAATTGTTCTACAGCACCATCTATTGGCGAGTTCCAGAAAAATGGATAGCCTAAAAACATTCTCTATGAAAAATTACTTATACATTTCATCACGATCGGTGGAGCGATGTAGAAGATTATCACTTACCAATCAACCAACCAACAAACATCCATTTTTATATATTAGATTATCTGGAACATATAAATGGAAAGTAGGCTCTGAAAAAGATTATTTGAATATACATTTGATACTTTGGTTTTGCAAAGATTTCAGTAGAAGTAATTGTTTTCCTACAGATACAAATCAAAACTTGATTTAGTTCAACAAATATTTTCCTTTGTGGATTTCTTGTGGAACTGGAGGCATATACTATTCGTAAAGTTCAATTTCATTAAATTAAATTCATAATAAAAAATCTGCATTTCAATGACTTCACTATAAATGGTGTATAACAATTTATTTTATGATTTTCGTAATACAATGTTCATTACTTCAATCTTACATAATAAATGTGGATTTCCTGTGGAACTGGAGGCATATACTATTCGTAAAGTTCAATTTCATTAAATTGAATTCATAATAAAAAATCTGCATTTTAATGACTTCACTATAAATGGTGTATAACAATTTATTTTATGATTTTCGTAATACAATGTTCATTACTTCAATCTTACATAATAAATAATAGAAAAACATACTATTTTGTCGATTGGAAATCTGAAAAATGAATGTCGACATCACCCTGCAAATTACAGCAACCCACAGCTTGACACCTGCTCATTTTGAAACTAGATACAAATTTTTCACAAATACAAAACCACCACTTACAACGACTCACTCTGTAATAATATTCCATGCCCCAATTTGGCTCGCTTGGTGAACGCCTCAGATTCAGTCGGTTGCGCATAAAATTCGAGGTGGGGAATCTTGACCCAAGTATGGCGGAGAGTGAACTTACTGGTGTTTACTTCTATACGGTGCCTGTAGGTACGTACGCATTATTTGTTTTATCGTCAGTCGGATCGAATAATAATGACAGGATGAATACACAAAGCAGGAATAATGATTTGATATTTGATTGCCGTCTGATCGTCGGATGTCGGATAGTAGGTAATCTGTTCTACCCCCAGAAACAGATTTTTGATAACAGCGCCATACCGGATCCGTTAACAGAACTGAAAACAAGTTCTGCCCATATAAGAGTTTTCTCTATATATACTTTGTGGTTGCTTGTCATCGGTGGGGATAGCGAGTGTAACGCGTAACGCAATTCTATGGTCAGTGATCATTATAAGCATAACCTAAAAATAATTCTTCAATAAGTGGCGATAAAATTTCATTTCATTCAGATTATTGTTTCAAAAATAGGTGATTGGGTAAAATAGAAGTTTTTATCATCTGAAAACATTCAAGATAGATGAATAAATGCAGTATGCGATAGTGTTTGGTTACAAGAAGTCGTTTTATGAAATAGATTATCAGTTGTAATAATTTCGACTTCAGGTTGGTCATTTCTCCGAAAGTAGACCGGAGCGCCACGTTTTGACTTCCTATTCGTGATCAACGAACAAAAATACGTAAGTGAATGTTGAGACTTCTATAAATAACCTCCAGTCAACACACATACCACTAATGATGTCTGCCGCAGTAGCTGACGAAATGTTTGGTACTAGAAATTCAACTCGACCAAGGCTTACAACTCCGAATTTTTTTTTCGAAACCACGTATCTTCAATATATTTTTAACTAGCGCGAGACGTGTATCCGAATAATTACCGAATTTTCATCGAAGCAACAAAGTGAAAGTAAAACTAATTCCATATAGTTGAAGAAATGCCAGATTTCTATCAACCCACGTTCTAATTACCAAAGACGCCTCCTTCGAGAAATTTCCTCTAACCGCAGCAACTTGAGGCGAACACAAAATCTTAAACTTCCGGCGACGGCGTGTACTCATCTAATACTCTATCCTTAATTACAGGGTGTTAGCCGGGCCAGTTCCGGACGATACTGCTGCGAGGCGACCAACAAAGAGGGCACGTCGAAGAGTCCCCCCTTCCACCTCCGCGTCAAATTCGAGCCGGTGTGCGGGGACGTCCTTCCGAGAAGGGTCGTGGGGGCGGCAAAAGACGAACCCCTCAAGGTTGAGTGCAAGGTAAGTGTTGATTTAGTTTAGGGAAAATAGCGCGGAATGTTATTTCAGATGCTATGGTACGGGATGTGTTCAAATGTGAATCTTCATGGGTCGGTTTTCGAATAAAGTATAATTCAGTTGAACAAATTTGTCGGAATGGCGGAATGAACCTATTATTTGAAGCAAAACTATAAATTTATTGATTCCAAAATAAATATCTATTTGAATATATTTATATATTGAATGTACGTATGTATATTGAATAATATTAAGTTTATTCAAGAATATATCATAATCGAAAAAGTAATTCGCTGTAATCGATTTGAATGAATTTTTATGACAACCGTAAATATATAGAAATTGAGAGGAAACGCTGCCCATTTCAATCATTTTATGGAACACGTGCAAATTTTATCATCTTCCTCTAGTTCCGTCAACGTATTCATGAATAATATGTTCTGAAATGAAAGCAACATGTGGTATAACGATTGAATCGAACACAAAATCCAATACTCAATTTCAATTATTGAAATAATCTGAAATTATAAAAATTTTGAATTTCAATTAATGATATACTCGTCAGAAGCGAATTAGTTACCTAACTGAAAACAAAAATAAATATTCCAGCTTAATTGATTCATTGGAGGTTTGTTTGAAGGTGGTTGACACTGTTTCATGGTGAATTTCATCAGTTCGGACTTCCATTGCCTAATATGATATAAATTGATTTGAAATCCCTGAAAAAATCAATAAAATTAAAATGAAATGCTGAAAATAACAATTATGTTCAGCATCAAAAACTCTAAAATAGAATTACAATAAAATAAAATATAAGCAACAATTTAAAATCGAACGATACAAAAAGATTTCAAGCCAAGTTAATTCACGATTGTTAATATTCATAATCGTCTTCGGGTGATGACTGAACTCCTCCGAGAGATGACTATGTATAGTCATGCCAATGCTTTCACTTATCCCGTCTTCCCTCTTTTCTCCACTTCACCGATTTAGCGGGATCTGACCCTTTGGCGGGAGTTGGCCGATTTCCGTTTGATTATGGGTTTCCAAATGTTGCGTATTTCGACGCTAGCTTGGCTGAATGCGTTGTTGGACAACATATATGCGGCTTCTTCGAATTTCCTCCAGTGTTCCTGCCTATGGATGATCTCAGCTTGGGACCACTTGACGTTATGTTGATGAGTCCAAACATGCTCTGGTATTCCCGATTCGCGGACTTTCAATGGCATCTCAGTTACACGGATGTAGGATTTTCCGCATCCGGTAAATGTAATTCTTGGAATTGCAGTCCGCGTTTGGTGGCCTGGTTTTCGTGAGGCTGCTACGGATAGTGTTTCCGGATCTGAAGCAGATTCTGACTTGAACCCAATTCTTCTAATCCTTTTCGACAATCCTCTGATGTGAATAAGTGCAAGTACTGGTTGTGATGGCTTCCCTTCCTTGCGAGGATCTTAGTATCTTTCAGCCAGTCTATTACACCATCAATTTGGAGTAACCATTTCGTTGAAGATCATTTTTGATGACGCCTAGTTTTTTCCCGACACTTTCCTTTGTATTACAGAGCTCGAAAGCATGGTCTACTAGAGTCTTGATGATTCCTCTTTTAGCCCATTGATGGTGGTTGGATTCGTGGTTCAGATACTGTCCTGTGTGAGTGGTACCTATACAGATGTTTTTCACTTAGTGTCGGTCCTCTTCAAGAATACATCTAGGAATAACAATTCGTTGTTGACTTTCTTCTCCATTGTTAAAGTGATACGCTGTTGTTGCGCTCCAGTAATGTATCTGGTTTTGAATTTCCATAGTTCCATATTATGAAGGTGTCGTCAACGTATCTCATCCAGACTCGGGGCTCCTTGTGGGTTCCTTCAATAGCCAGAGTTCCAAACCATTCCATTCACATCAATTGTTTCTTGTATTTTATTTTATTGTAATTTCATTTTAGGGTTTTTTGTTGAATAAAATTGTTATTTTCAGTTATTCATTTTGATTTTGTTTTTTTTTTTCAGGGATTCAAATCATTTTATATGATATAAGACAATAGAATTCCGAATTGATGAAATTCGTTGGAGATTAATATGGTTCTAACCATATAAATCAGAATAAATATATTTCTGGGATATAGTTATATTCATATTCAGTCAAATTTGTTATTGACATCTTTCATTTTCTCTCACCATCCTGGTTTTATTTTACATACATACATACATATACAGTAGTACAAGAGTTGATTGAACTGATTTAAAAACGCACAAGATTTCAATTCCATTACGGACATGAATACCATCTTTATTCAGCTACCCTGAGCTTGACTTTTAATCGAGCACAGATTTGCCTAATTCAAATAGAAAATGCTCATCTTCACGAGAATTTACATTATTTCAAAAAAATGTGAGCAAAAGTAGTTGGTGTGATGCTGTAATTTGTACTTATATTATAGTTTATAATATGTAGCAAAAATAATTAGTCCAATGTTTCAATTTTCAGTTCAAGATAATCATTTCAGAATATTTGATTCCTGAAGTTCAGCACAGGATAGAAAAAAAACATCCCAAATATTTTTAATACAAACACATTCTCACGTTCAACTCAAAAATAATATGTATGAGTAGGACCTCCTTCTGAATCGTTCATAAATCTACTCCATTAGATATATCACGATACATTCAGTAATATGCTTCAAGTGTTTACTGTACTTTCGATTAGAATCGTGTTGTTTTCTGACAGTTGCGATATATTACAAACTTCAACATGAATATGCAGTACTCTCTGCAGCCGGTCGCCGGTAATATTCGTCAATCGATTGTGACTTGGGCAAGGTCGAGCTCAACTTGACTTGCACTTCACGATCGTTCTAGATATCGTGTCGCTTCGAGAAACTTCCAGGGACTTTTCTAGCGGCTTCCAGAGACTTTCAGTACGATAAATAAACACTACTAACACGCAGATCGGAAGTCTAGTTTGAAGTGCGGTACAAAGAAATCTAATGAGGCGATATATATTTCAATATCAGTTTGAAGTTTCAGTTGAAGTGTTTATGTCGTATCGTTAGTGTTGCAATGATATAAAATTGAGATTTTCAGTGCAGTATAGTCAATTATTGTCAAACCCACGAGGAAAACGTACCAATATATAGGTATGTTCATGATCACTAACACCAATTTTTTTGGAACTGTCAGATAACACCTGTCAGTTGGTGTTTACCTACGAAATTATTTTTGAAAGATTACCTGGAGTATAAAGGACATCACATGAACATAACATAGTAAAAATCAACCAGTAAGTCCACTCCCACTTCATTCATAAATTCAAGTTCTCGGTGACCTCCAAAAGAAGTGAGGAGCCAATTTTGTTCTTTTACCATAGGCGTGCGCTCATATAAAAAAAACAAAATTCGAGGTTATCATAGAATATTTTGTGGTAAATCACTTATAACCAATTATAAAAACTGAAAACAATAATAATAACAGCGAATAAACTAAACATAATATTAATTTCCAACCGTTTAGAAATCACACATTGGAAGATAAGACCTCGTTAATCCTTAGCTCGCACAAGTTACGACTTCTGAGGGTTGTCGTTCGTAGGGGTGCTGATTAACGGAAAAACAGATTTGAAACAGTTTTTCTTTAACCGATGTCCGTGGTACCGTCAAATCTTTCGATACTACAGCACTGAACGCGTTGGATGAGAATCCCATCCTAAGAGCGGTTGAAGGTCCCCGGCAACTCGTGGTAAGATAGCCTACTGGTTGTATTATTCTACTGTGACCATAATATGCCCTACTGTCAGAACTGAGTTTATGAACCTAATTCTCGGTGCAGCTATTGATTCTGACAGGTCTGGATTTCAGAAACCCCTGTATGAAGTAATCTTCATTTGAATCTTACGAATTTGTATTCATCTAGTATTACTGGAGTTTTTCTCCAACAGCAAACCGTTATTTTAACACTTCGACACGTGTTTTGATCACCAAGTGATCATCTTCAAGAGGAAGATCAAACTGAATCTACATACAAAGTTATCCTTATTCACACCGTATTTATGCCTTATCTACTTGTCTTGGATTATTTCAACAAGCTACATAGTATACTATTACGTATTGGTCCACCATCGTTAGTCATAATATTATTATTTTTACTAATTTCTACACTCTCATAGGCATCTAAATACCTGTTTTTGTTAACTGAAGTTATTCTCTTCTTCTTCTTCTTTTCGATTCAATGGCATCAGCCACTAAGGCTATCCGGCCAGATGGTAACGAACGTTGTTGTTAAAGCCAAATGTGGCCACACTGAAGTGGACCTAGGGCGGGCCCATCCACAATTGGATTGAAATTATTTTATCTCGCATACCGGCAGTGACGCAAAAATCCCAGTGCCGAAAAGCAAATTAGGTTTGTTAATGCTCATAACTGTTTCCGCCGTATTGAGAATATATTGCCATTGTTAATTTTTCAGATTTCCTGGAGATGAGATTGACTTCACTATTACTGTCATTTCGGTTGCCTATCTCTCAGGTCATACGCTTTGATAGATTGAAAGTAGTTTTTTCAGCTATAAATACTACGAATGTTTCGTTGTCCACCCCAAGTAGTGAAGATACTTCTTGTTATTCTCATGATAATGTTCATAGTCTCTGTGTAGAACATTCAGAGAAAATCAACCAGTCTCCGGTTTTATTGAGTACTGCTCTGGTTGGAGTATTTGATCGGTGAAATAAAGAGCATAAAATTAGATTTATAATAGACAGTGGTTCTATGTCGAACCTATTCACAGTAGATTGTTGCAGAAGGCTCAATTAACCTTACTCAAAAATTTGCTGAAATCATGGGTTCACATCATGTTTCAGGAATCAAAGGTGCACCTACAGCCTTAGATACAAAACTCGGTTACATTGTAACAGGTCATGCTCAAAGTTCTGAAAGTTTCTCCTTTTCACAAAATAATTCAACATTTCTAAATTTGGATACATTGATATGTGGCAGGTGGATAATTTTTCAA